ATTATAATAATATAGTGTAAATGTTTGAGTTAAGCTGTGTGCGTGGGTGGTTGGCGGGTGCTCTGGTGTGGTTTGCTTCTTCTTTCCTATCAAACATCTATCGTCCTTATCGGCTTTTCTCCCCTCCTTTTTTTATGTTTGTTACTCTCTTGTAACAGCGAGTGCCGTAAAACCTTTACTAAAAAAAAAATATTTTAAAAAAGAGAGAAACACATGGACACAATAACAGTCTTTTAGAGCTGGGGAAAAGGAAGACGGGCAGACTGACAGAAACAAAAGACGGTAAGGAAAGAAGTAGGACGTACCAGTGGTGCCCTTCAACCAACCACCTAGGGCTGGGCAAGGAATCGATTCTGGAACGTTGGTGGTTGGCGGGTGCTCTAGTGTGGTTTGCTTCTTCTTTCCAATAGAAAGTCTATCGTCTCTATCTCCCCTCCTTCTTTTTTATGTTTGTTACTCTCTTGTAACACCTCTAATCTTCGGCATTTATATGACCTTATTATGTTGCAAGTGTCGTTAAACACTTATTAAAAAAACTAAAACGATTCCGGAACCGTTTCCTACGATTAATCATATGCTGCAGAAGAAAAGTTCCGACTCTTTTTTACGTAAACCAACAGTAACCAGTCACTTTAATCTTTAAAATCTTGTTCTTTTTTTTAAAGAATTTATTTTTGAAAAAAAAAAGTTGGTGCTTTGCAGTGTTCTGAATTCAAGGTTATCCTAAATCCTGAAGATGTTCGGAGCCAACCAGGTAACCATCAAAGAAATCACATCATTAGAAAGTAATTGGGTTCGGAGCCGATTCCTACGATTTCTAGCTTTCAATAATCGGGAACCTAGCCGCCTAGCACTAACTGTTCCCACCCGCTTTCTTGTTCTGATACTCAAATCTGATAGCTTGTATTTCCACTACAAGTTATGATATCTTATGATTTATCTTCTATATATTAATATATTACACTGTCCCCGGGGTTTTATGCATCCAGCATAATTTAGCAAAATTTAATCATTTTTTGTATAATTTCTGATTATTTTCCTTTGCCATTCTTTGTTAAAATTAACAGAATCGCTTTTGGGATCAGTTTGCATAATTTCAGAAATTTGTTTTGCATAAAACCGCGGGGACAGATATATATATATATTATATGAAAGCTCTGATCACGTCCATTTTACCCTCAGATTGAATGCACGTTATAAATGGGTGGTTGGAGGGCGCCACTGATTGGTCCTACTTCTCTACTTTCTCTCTGTTGTCTCTCTCTGTCTGTCTGTCTTGCTTTTTCCCAGCACTAAATGACC